CCATATGCTGTCACTGGACAAGACTTCCATTGAAAGCCATGTTGTGAGAGCGGGAAGGGGCACGCTTTTGGGAGGGAGGGGTGCAGACCGCCGCATCTGCCTGAGGATGGGCGCGCAGTGCCTGTCGGGAGGGAGTTCCTGGCAGAAGGAATAGTCCCTGCAGAGACTGGAAGCCGGAAGTGAAGAGAGCCCAGAGCAGGAGGAAGTAGGGGTGGGGCTGGAGGTGGTGGGTTGGGCAGGTAGAGAACCCTGTCAAATGTGGGATTCATCGTGTGATTTTTTTTTTTTTAATGTTTTATTTATTTCTGAGAGAGAGAGACAGCATGAGCAGGGGAAGGTCAGAGAGAGAGGGAGACACAGAATCCGAAACAGGCTCCAGGCTCTGAGCTCAGGTCATGATCTTGCAGTTTGTGAGTTCAAGCCCTGCGTTGGGCCCTGTGCTGACCCCTTGGAGCTTGGAGTCTGCTTTGGATTCTGTGTCTCCCTTTCTTTCTGTCCCTCCCCTGCTCGTACTCTCTCTCAAAAATAAATAAACATTAAAGAGAGAAAGAGAACCATAGGTGGGGCACCCGGGTGGCTCAGTCAGTTCATTCCTGCTCTGGATTTCGGCTCAGGTCACGATCTCACCGTTGTGCTCCTGGGAATGGAGCACTGGGAGTGGAGCCTGCTTGGGATTCTCTCTCTCCCTCTGCCCCTTCCCTGCGCATGCTCTCTTGCTCTCTCTCAAAAAAAAAAAAAAAAAAAAAAAAGAAAGAAAGGAAAAAGATCACCACAGCTAACCCGGGAGGCTCCTGTGGGCCAGGCCTGGGCCCGCAGGTTAGAGGCCAGGTGCAGAAATGAACCCCTACTGTGTGCCAAGGATCAGAGCAGACCCAGGATCCTGTCCTGGGGGGTGACGGGGCAGAGAGGGGCGGGTAGGCAGATAAGTGACCTGGAGCCTCAGTGATGAGGAAGAAACCGGGCGGTGGCGATGGGCTGGGAAGTCTCCCAGGGAGGCGTCATTTGGGCCAGGGCCGTGGGGAGTGAGTCATGGGGGCGCCTGTGTGGTTCCCAGCTGACTTCCGAGGTGGGCGGTGTTACCCCATCTTCTGGATGAGGAACCCAGACGGAGGGGCAGGGCAGCCTACCGTGTGCAGGGCAGCCTGGGGTGGGGGCAGCAGGGTTGCGGGGGTAGGAGTCAGGGCGGAGGAAGCAGACGACTGCGGCTTGTCGGACGGCGTTCTGGGCAGAGTTACAGGGAGATGATTTCCTTCCCCCACCCAGGCCGGGAGGGCCCCGGGGACCCTCTGGGCAGAGCCGAGGGCGCAGCCGGACGGGCCCTTCCTCACCAAGCCTCTTGGGAATTTCTGAGGATCTGCTTTTTGGAGGGGGACTGTCCAGTCCGAGTGCGGGTGTTGCTGCTCTTTCTGCTCAGTAGTTCAAGAGCTTCTGGAAACATGATTGGAGGAATCCGGGGGTGGTCGGCACCCAGCCTGCCGCTCAAGGCCCCGTGCGCCTGCCCACCCTCCGCCTTCAGCCTCCCCCACCTCGGGCTGCGCCTCCTTTGCCCCGGGCCTCACCCTCCAGTCACCACGAGCACCAGCCCCGGCCAGCTGCCTTCCCTGCGCGTGCCCGGAGCCCTCGGAGTTCTCTTGGGCATCGTGCTGGTCCCCGTGTTCTTCCGAGGCTCTCTGTGCCCATTGTCCATAGCGTCACCATTGCGCCCGTGGTGCCTGCCTTCCCACCCCCCCGGGACAGTCCCAGGACGGCGGGGGAGACGATGTGTGGGCCCAGAGGCCGGGTGACCTCCCACCCTGTGAACTTCAGTCCACGTTCCCACCACTCCCTGATGCCCAGTGACCTTGTTTTCTTAGATGGATCCTTGCACTCAGGAAATCACCGGACAGATCAAGATAGAATATGTTGTCCGTCCCACCAAGTTCCCCCCGTGCCCCTTCCAGAAGGTTCTCCAAAGGGAACTGGGTACTCTGATTTCTATCGCCAGAGACGAGTTTTGCCTGTTCAGGTCCACCCTCTGACTCAGCGGGAGAAACGAGGGCATGTGTGAAAATGTTCCTAGCGGCTGTATGTGCAACGACCCTGAGCTGGGAGGACCCCACCTGTCCCGTCGACTACAGAGTGGAGGGACACATTGTGGCCCGGCCGCCCCACTGGACACGGGTCAGCCGTGGAAAGGAACGTGCTTCAGTCACACACAGCAGCTTGCAGGAGCCACACAGGCAGGTGTGGGGGATTCATTCCCAGGCTTCTGTGTGGTTTGGTCCCTGGCCTGTCCCCGTCGCGTTGAAGAGGTGGGGTGGGCGACGGTGGTGCAGGCCGCGCACACTGTCACCGCTGCCGCCGCGGATTCTGCGCAGGGCTGGCGCTGATGGCTTCTAAGACGCCACACCTCTGATGCGCCAGGGGCCTCCTGTCCCTACCCCTCAGGTCTTCGCCTCTGAGCCGGGTGGCCTGGGGGCTCTCTGGGAGTGCCAGGGCCAAGGCCAGGTGTGGTGCTTGAGAGGTTAGCAGCCGCCAGCAGGCCCAGCCTGTCCCTGGGAGAGCCTGGCGTCTGCCGTGAGGTGGCTTTGCTCTCCTGGAGACGGGCTGGTGCCGCCTGGGGTGAGGGCCGAGGTGAAGAACTGACTTTGGGGCCTGGTGAGCTGCGTGGGGCCTCCTTGCCGTTCCCCCGCTCTGCCCTGTCTGCACCCCTACATGTAGCTCACCTCCTGTTTCCCCTTCTGAGAGGGGCCTTCTCTGACCAGACCAGCCTCCAAGCCCTCTGACCCCCGTGCAGTGTCTTCTTCGTCCCCAGCGCCTCCATCGTAACGCCTGAGGTGCAGAGGGTGACTGCCACCAGGGGCCGTGGGCTTCGTCCTCCTGGGGCTCACGGGCGTCCTGGGGATGTTCGTCCCTCTCTTTTGGGCCCTCCCACCCTCCATGGTTGGACCGTCCTCTCCTGAACTGCTGTCAGCCCTGTCCTGTGTCTGTCTACTGCTGTCACTTACTGCCACACTCTTGGTCCAGCCTCTGTCATCACATATGTGGACCAGTGCAGTCCTCTCCTGCCTTGCCTCTGCGGCCGGCTTCCAGAGGGTTAATTTATTCAGAGAGAGAGAGAGAGAGAGAGTGAGAAGGGGACAGAGGATCTGAAGCAGGCTCTGTGCTGGTAACAGAGAGCCTGATGCGGGGCTCGAATCCATGAGCTGTGAGATCATGACCTGAGCCAAGGTCAAATGCTCAATCACCTGAGCCATCCAGGCGCCCCTGTCTTTCAGTGCTTCCTTTAAAGCCACACACCTTTAAAAGGGCACATCCTTTAAAAGGGCACATCATTATAATCTGGATGTCCCTACCCCCATCTGGCTACCTTGCTCTAAGGATGATGACGGGACTCCGGCACCACCGTCACCCCACCCCTCTCCGGGCCTGCCTGCTTGAGCGCCCGCTCTGCTGCTCTGACTGAGCCCCTACGGGGCCTTTAGGCCCTGTGGCCCACAGAGGGCCCCTCATCTCATGGGCTGGGCCACGAGCGGGTGGGCCAACCTTACTTAAGTGGTCACTGCGCCCCCCCTTGCGCCCAGCCAGTGGGGTGCTGCAGACGTGTGGGGCCGCCCACAGGCTGTCACACGTGCCTGGGTGCGCCCCCTTCCCTCCAGCAATCCCCCTCCCCCCGGGTTATTAACACGTTCCCAGGGATTCTGACAGCCAGCCTGCGCTGGACCCAGCGGCCTCCTCCGGGGCCTTCCAGGCTCCCAACAGGGGTTCCCAGGAGGTGCCCCCCCCGGGGCGCTGTGGCTGTCACAGTACTGGGGAGCGGTGATGGCGGTGGCCCTGGGTTGAGAACCCCAGAATGGTGTTGTCTTGCTGCATACGGGACACGCCTGCCCACTGCCCCCAGTCCTGTGTCCCACACAGGTTTCAGATCTACTTCTGTGCAAACCTTGTTTGAAATTTTCTGAACCTAGAACTTTTCTCCGTTTTACATGAGACAACAAAGAATCCTTTGCATGGCTGTAATCTCTGACAATCCCTCTGCTACTTCAGCACTCACTGAACCCTACTCTTTGGCTGTCTTTTTTTTTTTTTTTTAATTTTTTAAGAATCTATTCATTTTTGAGAGATAGAGTGTGAGTGGAGGACGGGGGGTGGTGGGGACACAGAATCCGAAGCAGGCTTCTGGCTCTGAGCTGTCAGCACAGAGCCCGACACGGGGCTCGAACCCACGAGCAGTGAGATGGTGAGATCATGACCTGAGCCGAAGTCGGTCGCTTAACCGACTGAGTCACCCAGGCGCCCCTGGCTGTCCTTTCCTAATGGCCCAGAGCACCTTCTAGTCGTCCTGGTTTGCATGAATCCACACGTATCAGTAGAAGTTGGTGTAGGTGGTGCCTATATCCATAGTGAAACACACAGGGTATATTTTTTATATTTAACAGCTTTATTGAGGGATTGTTTATGTACTAGGAAATTTTACCGTTTTTAGTAAACTTACAGTAAATATTAGCATCACCATAGTCAAGTTTTAGAACATTTCCAGCACCCCAGAAAGCTCCCTCCTTGTGTCTGACCCCCTGGGCAATCCACATCCTGCCTATGTCACTTTGCTTTTTTGGGACATGAAACACGTATTTTGTCACCAACTACTTTCCTCTTATTTCGTCTTCATATCATACGGATGGCATTAAATTAATTTTAAACATGTATGTAGGAAATGTATTCATTTCTTTGGGGTGTAGGAGATGTTCAAATATTTGTCAACGAAAGGGCTCTTTGGGGCATGCTGGGGCCAGAGGGAAAAACGGGTTCCACTCATCAGCAGCCTTCATGCCAGTCTCTCCTCTGCCCCGGTGGCCTCAGGACCCTCGGAGGTCAGAGTGTTCCCAGTATCTGGCTGGGACACTGGTGTCTTTGCTGAGGCTGCCCCAGTCGCAAGGCGGGATTGCTCCACACATGTGGTCACACTTCCTGCCCCGCAAGCCAGCCGCATGAGTAATTTGTGTCCTTTTCCCCTCCCACAGGGACTTCCTTCCCCGAGGCTCAGGAATCGTCACCCGGCGGCCTCTCATTCTGCAGCTCATCTTCTCAAAAACAGGTACAGTGAGGCAGCTTACTGCTGCGGCAGGAAATGAGCACGGGCACAGTGCCTAGCCGGAGTGCGGGGGGCCAATGGCGTCGGGGGTCTTGGGCCGTCATTTGGGCTTGAACTCCGCCTTTTCCATCTGTGCAGGGAAGTTGAAGCGCAGTTCAGTGAACACCCACCCCGCTTGTGTCCTCACTTGTGACCAGGCTGCCAGGTGCCATGTCTGCTTGCTCTGTTGTGGATGACACATTTTTTTTTGCTGAATGAACAGTTTCAAAATCAGTAGCAGACATTGGAACACATCAAGCTGGAGGGCGTCCCCTTGCAGTGAGGACGCCTTCCTAGTCACGGGACCACACCCAAGAAAAGTAATCACCCCTGCATGTGATCTTGTGCCCAGCCCATCATCAGGTTGCCAGTTGTCCCCTAGCGACCCTCCCTGGCTAGTTCTGCAGCTGCTCCGATCTGCCCCCTGCTGCACCGCGCTGTCCTGTCTCCTCTTTTCTTTAGGGCCGCATTGCCATGTCAGTCACGCCTTGGCTTTTGGAGAGCCACCCGTTGAATGTAGAATGGCCCATATGGAGGCTTTTTTCTGGCTTCCCCTCGGTGGCCTCGGTTTATTTCTGTCCTTTCCACACAAGCCTGGCATGACGTGGGCGTGTCTCCCACAGTAAAACCCACTCGGGCCTCCTTGGAAAGCATCTTGGGTCAGAAGCTGGAAGGGGAGAAAGGAGCCTTCGGGGCATGGCCTCACCTCACTCCAGAGTCGCGAGCGGCCTCCATGCTGCTTCCCCAATGACCTGGAGTATCACCCTTGGTCGGTTCAGCACTCAGTGGGAGCCAGTCTCACCGCACGGCCCGGTTAAACACACCCAAACTAGGAAGGCAGCTGACACACCCCCATTTTACGGGGACACTGACGCTTAGCCGGGTCACCTACCTTTACACTGGGCACCAGATCTGGGACGGGCACCAAGCGAGTCAGACCTCAGACCAGGCTCTCTGCTGTTGTGCCCAGAGTCAGGCTTTCTCGCTTTCATCTTCTGACCCCGCCCAACCCAGCTGGGAGTGGGCGTGGATCCAGTGAGAGGCGATAGCGGATTGGTCCATACCTCCTCCTCATGAGTTCTGCCGTATCATAGGCCACAAGCAAGCCAATGGGCTGCTTCCCCTGGATTCAGCTGTCCAATCAGCTGGGCCCAGACTGGCGGCAGCAGAGCCACAGGTTTCGGTTGACCATGGGTCAGAGTCGCGGAAAGCTTGGCCTGGTGGGTTTCTGCTTCTTATTCAGCAGGTTTCAGCAGTTTGGTGGGGAGAGGAGGGGTGAGAATATGCATTTTTAATGAGTTCCCAGCTGATGGCCGATGCTTCTGGCTCCTGGCCACACAGGGAAAACCTCTGCCCTGCTGGGAAGGCCCTGCCAGCTGAGACTGCCCGGGTTCAGATCGTGACTCTGCAGCTTACTGGCTGTATGACCCCTCAGGAGGGACTGCTGCTCGCCGTGTGTTTTCCTTTCTGGACAGCAAGGATAATAATAGCACCGACTTCGTCTGTTGCCACGAAGGCCACGTTATTCAGTACGTCCAACCCCCAGAACAGTGCCTGGCACTCCATGTCCTCCCCGTGTGGTGCTGACTCAGTGGCTGCGGTTTTGTGCTTTCTGCTGGCCTGTCTGGGACGGCCTGCTGGGAGAACGGGTCTGCTGGCTTTCTGTACTGGAAGGTGGTGGGCTGTTTCATGGCGGGAGGGCCTCCCTGCCCCCTCCTTGGTGGCCGTCACCCGGCTGTGGTCCACTGGAGCACTTAATGCATGCCACAGGCTGGTCCGTGCCCAGGGCACACCAGTGACTGGACCAAGGCTGCTGCCACCACCAGTCACTTGCCCATCTGGCACTCCATTGGTGCCGGGGAACAGAAGTGGGACACTTGGGGTGAGACCAGCAGGGAGACAGGCAGGCCTGGCCCCCACCAGATGGGAGTGTGTGTGTGGAGAGGGGAGGCTGACTAACTTCATCCTGGAGGGCGGGGCACCCAGGGCGCCTCCGAAGAAGTGATGTTGGAGCCGAGGCTGACGGAACTCTCCTTCCCAGCAAAGGGTGGTAGATGTGAAGAGCAGTGAAGGTGGAAACGGAGGGTGCACATCAGCCTCATGCCTGGCCTGGACTGAGGCTGGGGTCTCTGTTCCTGTCATCCCCACTTTACAAAGGAGGGAACTGAGGCTTCCAGAGATGAGGCCACTTGCCTGAGAGCACACAGGAGGGTCACCGTGAGAGCCCAGCCTGAAACCCATGTGGTGGGGTGCACCCGAGGGCCGAAGTGTCAGTTGATCAGATCCTGTGGCTGCTGGTGAAAAAGAGACCACAGGAGCCAGCCCAGGCTAGGGGACCCGGAGGAGGTAGAAGTGGTGCCTGGGGACCAGTAGGGACGGGGTGGCCGCCATGGAGATAGGGTCGTGATTGGATCCTGGTGGGTGGGTGGTGGAGGTGGGGAGAGAGGCCCAGGTATCCCATGTGGAAGTGGCCTTGCTGTGTCTCAGCTCACATAGTCTTCTTTCCCCACCTGACGGTGGCATCTCCAGTCTCTCTCTTTCTCTCTCTCTTTTTATTTTTGAGAGAGAGAGAGAGATCATGAGCAGGGGTGGGGCAGAGAGAGAGGCAGGACAGTGGGTCCGAAGCAGGCTCCGCACTGTCAGCACAGAGCCCGATGCAGGGCTCGCACCCACGAACTGGCGATCATGACCTGAGTCCAAGTTGGATGCTTAACCGACTGAGCCATCCAGGCGCCCCTTGAGTCTCCTACTGGTGCCAGTAGCTGTGTGCCCACTCTGCTGGAACTCATCTGGGTGCCAGAGAGGCAGAACAGGGTGGCAGACATGGGGTGCTGTTGTCAGGCCGAGAGGGGAAAGGATGAGGTGTGGGAGAGTATATTGGACATTGGATCTACTCTGGGAGAACATTCTAGGCAGGGGCGACAGCATGTGCAAAGCTGTGAGGTGGGGGAGGGGCAGGAGGCAGGGGACATGGCCTGGGAGTCTGGTGAGGGATTCAGGCAGTGAGAGCCCAAAGAGCACTGGGGTGGGGAGACCCGGCTCAGCCACCAGCTGCCTTGTGCAGGAAGGACAGGCAGGGATAGGCTTGCGGGCGGGAGGCTAGGGAGGGGTTAGTCTAGAGCCCTGAACGAGGTCATGAGGCCTGGCCCAGGCCAGTGCTCTGAGGGTGAAGTTCAGTCTAGAATGACCCTGAGGTGGGGGGAGGGGGTGTCCAGGGCGATGGACAGCAGAGGTGCCTGGGCTGGGTGGGGGGTGGGACACCCCACTAGCAGGAGGGATGAAGCTGGTGTAGCTGGGTGTAGGTGGGATGTGCTGATTGGCCAAGGGCCCTCTAGGGAGTAGACTTTTGTCCCGCCCACTCTGGAGAACAGGACTCTGGAGCCCCGCAGCTGCCCCTTACAGTCCCGGGCCTGGGCCAGCTGGCCTCCCTCTCTGTGTCTCGGCTTCCTCATCTGTAAGACAGGGGTGCTAGTGGTACCCCCTCTGTGGCCCCAGCAATCCACGTGGCTTTGATGTGGCTGCCAACTCCCGTGGGGTCTGGGGGCCCACGATGTGACTTAGAGGCTGGGTCTCAGCCCTCCTCTCTGAGGCCTGGGACACCCAGTGATGTCTGGCTGCTGGTCCAGAGTGCTCTTGGTGAGCCATTACTTTTAACTTTTTTTTTTTTTTTTTTTTTTTTTAAGTAGGCTCCGTGCCCAGCGCAGAGCCCAACACCAGGGCTTGAATTCGCAACCCTGAGATCAAGAGTCAGATGCTTAACCAGCTGAGCCGCCCAGGCGCTCCAGACTTTTAATCTGCTTCGTTTAAAAATTACCTAAGACTGAACGGGGGCACCTGGCTGGTTTAGTCAGTAAAGCATGTGATTCTTGATCTCAGGGTTGTATGTTTCAGGCCCGCGTTGGGCACAGAGGTTACTTAAAAAGAAAATCTTAAAAAAAAAAAAAATTACCTAAGGCTAGAGCCGCCAGGAATTTTGATGGCTCCCTGGTGAACCGTGATCCTCTGGGAGCCACCCCTTGGTCTTGTAAACCCTGGGTGCGGGGGACTGTTCTTGTGTGGAGTGTGGCCTCCAGAGCCTTCCTTCCCTTGACCTTGACTGCTGCTCTCAGAGGTCAGAGAGGGGATGGCAGGGCTTGGCTCCCAGCTCTCTTCTTAAAGCTTTGTGACCCTGATAGGGCCTTGCTGGCCTCTGGGACCTTGCCTCCTCCTGGTCCCCTCGCCGCAGCTACAATCCCCCTCTTCACTCACCTTCAGGATCAGCTCATCCATTTGTGCCTCCAGGCCTTTGTCTCCCAAGGTCCTCCCCCTGCTGGGTGGGCCCCCGCCCCCGCCCCATCATTGCTGCCTGCCGTTCCTCCTCAGGTAACCCGATCCTGTTCTTGTATTCTTACTGGTTTCTCGCCCCCAGAAGTCCGTCCCAGAAAGCACTGATCTGCTTTGTTGTGGTATCATCGACAGCCCTTTCTCCAGCACCTGTCCTGCGGGCCTGGTCCCCACGGGGCCTTTCCTCTGAAGCTGGTAGACTCTGCAGCGTTTGGGGCATGGCCTTGTCTCTTGATGAGGAAGCAAGAGCCAGGAGCTCGTGAGAGTCAGGCTGGGGGCCGCCCGGATGCTGGCTGTGGCTGTCGCTCTCTCCCGTACGTGGGGTGGGGTTCTCCCAGTTTCTGGAGGACATTTCACCCTTTGGGTGGCGCTCACCTCCATTCTGACGCCACCTTCCTGGGGAGAGTGTCCCATCCCACAGCGGAAGGGCTCAGCCCCTCCAGCCTGTGGTCTTCCGCCCCCACCGCCAGTCACAAGTCCGGGTTGTCACCTGTGCGTCTCGCCCCCTGGCTGTAGATCTGAGGTCCCCATGACCCCCTCCCAGCTCCTCCACATGTTCACCAGCCGGGAAGCTCTCTGAAGCCTGGTCTCTGGGTGCTTCATGGAGGCCTCATCACATAGGCACGATTGATTGAATCATT